ACCCGCACCGAGGGGAACCGGTCGATTGGTAAAACTGATTCAGTTCAACCGATAGACCGGTTCCACCCGGTTCAACTCGAACCGGTTCGGGTTCGGTTCTTGCTCATGTCTAGCCCCGCTCATGTGCTTGCCATGCAACCACTCATGCACCCACCATGCGCCCACTGATGCGCCCACTCATGCACCCACCATGCGTCAACCCATGACCAACCATGCTTTCATCCATGTTCCCACTCATGCACAAGTGATAAACCTACAAACCACTAAATTTTGCGAGTACTGCTGGGTAGAATGTAATGTATGCCTCACATCCTTCTGTTACTGTCACATGTATGTAACAATCACCATCCACGATCCTCCCAGTACTGTCACATGTATGTAACAATCACCATCCACAATCCTCCCAGTACTGTCACATGTATGTAACAATCACCATCCACGATCCTCCCAGTACAGCCACTCGCACTGTGCAGGTCACAACTCAATCACTCACCTCAGCCTTAACAGACGAGTCTCCGGGTAAATCACCCAAGTGGATCTCACTACCCTCCGTATCCATCATGATGGCGATAGAATAGCCCTTCTCCGCGTTCAGCCGCCGCACCTTGTCCACCACGTCCCTGATGTGGGGGAGGGGGATGGGAGGGGAGGGAAAGGAGACGAAAGGCCATGAGGGAGAGCGAGGAAAACATAACAAGCCTTCTCCGCGTTCAGCCGCCGCACCTTGTCCACCACGTCCACCCTAAACCCTAAAAAGGTTGGAGTGGAAGGTTGGTTGGGAGGATGGGAGAAGGGGAGGGCATGCGGGAGGGAAGAAGAGTATAGAGACTGTGGTGGGGGGATCTGGTTTTTGAGAATTCTCAAAAACCAGCTCGTATCATGGAGGAGGGAAGAAGAGCATAGAGACAGTGGTGGGTGGGGGGATTATAATATCTCGTCTCTCTGTTCAGCTGCCACACCTACTCCACCACGTGTCGTTTTCATGTGGATGGGGAGAGGGGCAAAAGGGGGAGAGGGGGAAAGGGGTGAGAGGAGGGACCAAGAGCATAAGAGAAAGTGCAGGACATGACATGACTTGTTTGCGTTCAGCTGCCACACCTTCTGAACTGGGGTACAAGACGTGTTTTTCTCGTGACAATAATGCTGACCCTACCCACCCACCCACCGGTGCCACTCGTGGGTGCCATGGCACATGTTGAGCCGGGCCACGTTCATGCCTCCAGACGCCAGCGCCTCAAGCTGCTTGAAGGAGCAGGAGGCGGGCCCCACGGTGCAGATGAGCTTCGTGCGCCTCGTGCTGCGAGAGCCGTTCTCCTTCATGTCTGCTGCCACCACTGCATCCACCTGCAGCAGAAAGGGGTTTAAGGGGGGTGGGGGTCATGAGAGGAATGAGCGCGGGCCTGGGGCAACGTATTGTGCTGCGCGAGCCATTCTCCTTCATGCCCGCCGCCACCACTGCATCCACCTGCAGCAGAAAGGGGTTTAAGGGGGGTGGGGGTCATGAGAGGAATGAGCGTGGGCCTGGGGCAACGTATTGTGCTGCGAGAGCCGTTCTCCTTCATGTCTGCTGCCACCACTGCGTCCACCTGCAGCACAAAGGGGTATAAGGGGGGTGGGGGTCATGAGAGGAATGAGCGTGGGCCTGGGGCAACGTATTGTGCTGCGAGAGCCATTCTCCTTCATGCCCGCCGCCACCACTGCATCCACCTGCAGGCGTGGGGGGTTGCGGGTTTAAGGGTCAGGGTTGAGGTGCGGGAAGGAGAGAAACAACTCTCTGCTTTGTCGCAAGCAGCACTGCTGCCCAGTAATGCAGCGAGAGCCGTTCTCCTTCTTGTCCGCCGCCACCACAGTGTCCACCTGCAGGTGTCCAGGGATTGGAGGGCAGGGCAGTGAGGGAACCGGGAGGACAGTGTGAAGGTCTTGTGCAAGGCGGCAGGTCGTTGGCGCTGCGAGGGCCGTTATCCCTCATGTCTGCAGCCACCACTGTGTCCACCTGGAGGCGTTGAGGATTGAGGGTTGAGGAGGGTGTTGAAGATTGAGTTGAGAATTGACGGCGAGGGTTGAAGGTTGAAACCAAGTACTTGATCGTTCATGAGCAAGCAGGAGTGGCGCGGGCAGTTAAGGGGCTCGCCGCTCACTAACGCAGGTATTATCATACAGGCCAAGAATCAGCATACAGGACTTCCTGCATATCGCAAGACATTTTAAGAGAGCTTGGGTGCAAGCAATGGCTGGACGAGGTAGCGTGAGAAGGGGATTGTAAGCGCCTGAAAGTGGGGCCTTAGCTTGACGCAAGGTAACCGCCTAATTCAACAGCGATCATTCCAAACGCCCATGCCTGTCTTGACTCTTGAGACGCCCATTTTACACGCGACCGTGGTGGCAGTGGTGGCACGATGCAGCATGTGCGCTCAACGCCAGCGCCGCTTACCTCCAGGTCGCTTTGCAGCAGGTGTAGGTGAATGTCCATGAGGTAACTGCCTATGAACCGATCATCCCAAGTGGCCATGACAGTCCTGAGACGCCAATTCTACAGGCGATGCAACGTGGTGGCAGTGGTGACACAACGTTGCATGTGCGCTCAACACACCAGCGCCGCTTACCTCCAGGTCGCTTTGCAGCAGGTGCAGGTGAATGTCCATGTCCTCTGCCACGCCAGCGCATACCACAGCTCAGCACCACACAGCACCGCACAGCACCGCACAGCACAGCACAGCACAGACAACACAGCACCACGCCACGCATCAACACGAGAAAACCCGTTAGTCAAACTGGCAAGAGACAATTCGCAAGTTTTTAATGGAGCTCTTGACTAGACGCGAATCGAAACAGATGGATTTGAATGTCTGCGTCCAAGCCTTAGCCATCGTATGAAATACTGTAGAAAAAAATAATAGAATGGATGTAGTAAAAATAGAATGAAACTCGAGGAGTCCCAAACGAACAGCGGATTTGTGTCAGTACCAACCGCCGAGCCATCACACAGGGAGCATATGCGTACGCGGATAAGCACCATAAGCGTGACGTCACCTCGCATATAAGCACAATTCAAGTAACTCGACCCAGCAGAGAAGCGCAATTCACGTGACACGTTCTAAAACCTCGAAGAAAAACGCACACTATTCAGCAACTCGCGCTGCTGTAGTCTGAAACGGCAGATAATCGACAGCTGGATCGGTAGCAGCACTCGGCGGATAAAGCGGGCGTGGGGGTAATTGAGCTAAGCACTTAACTCCTGCTTCAAACCAGTGTTGGTGAACCATCGACGCTCACTAATTCTTCTATTTAGTTCTGTGTCAATGTGTCGCCGATGTATATAGATCTATTGCTTCAGTTGTGCTGCTAACTCGCGATAGGGTGCACACCTGAAGCGAAGACATTCGCTCCGTTGTTTCCGACGAGATCAGCGACGATCTCTGTCTGCTCCTGCTCCTGCTGCTCATGCTCCGCATGCTGCTCCGCTTGCTGTTCCGCAAGCTGCGCTTGCTGCTCCGCCTGATCCGCCACTTCAAGCGCCGATGAGCCCTCGGCCGCGGCACGCGAATTGGACGGCGATCGCCGCTTCCGTGCAGCGCAAACCACGCCGCGAGACGCGGAGGCAGGGAACCGGGCGGCAGCAGGGGCTTTCGCCGCTGGATTGGAGCAGCGAAGGCCGGAAAACGACACGCTGCGAAGCGTCGACGACGACGAAGATAGGCTCCACGCGGTCGCCATGATTGGACGAGAGGCTAGCGAAAGTGCGAGGGATTCGCGCAGCGAAAATCTCGTCGCAAAAGGAAAGCTAGTCGTCGTCGCACAATTAACACTGAAATGACCTCCTGGATCCACTAGCCGCTTCTCCACTGAAACTCTAGAAGCAATCACCGACTCGAACAATGGAGCTTCTAGTCTCAGGAAGTAGGACGAGGGGTGAGTGAACGTCACTGAAGAGCATCTGGGAATGAAAGAGGTTGCGGAGGAATCGAGGCTCGAGCTGCGGTTTCAACGAGCTTCGCCACTGGTATGTTTGGTTTCGACGAGAATGGTTACGGGCTTGAGTTTTCGCAGCACTTGCTGGGACTGCAACCCGTGTTCATAGCTGCTGAAATCGAGGGACGAGGGCTGCATGAAGCTCCACGTTTCAAGAAACGGGTAACGTGTGTGCGTGCATTCTTCGTTCAAATCAGGAATTGGCACATGATGCGAACTTGTGTGAGGCTTGCGAAATTCCTTGTTCAAGGGTGACCTGTAACGTCGCCCATAATTTCTGTCTTGTGGAGCCTCCCAAAGAACCAACCTTCGTATCAGTGCTTACCGAATATGCAGCCTGGAGCTTCATTTTATGGGCTGTCCACAGCATTGGTCTGCATATGGTGGAAAGCGGAAAAAGGTTCACCTTCAGCCAGTCCGATGGCGACAGATGCTGAGGTTGCTGCCTCAGCGAAATAGCATTTTATAGTGACCGCGAAACAGCAGGCGCCACCTGGATGGCCATCTATCTCTTGCACTGTCACTCTTATAAGATGACGTGGATGACATGATACCGCTACAAAGAAGCGCTTCGCTTCAAATCAGATGGGAAGTTTATTTCACTTGAGGATACAGGTGTACATATTTCAAAACCACCTGCAAACAACCCTGAGGCAGATCCTTGCAAGTCTAATAACAACCTTCCTGCGATCAACCAGATTGATCGACGCTATGGCCGGAGTTGTTGGAATTAAACTATTAATAATTACTTTATGTAAATATATAGATATCATGATGCCAAAGTGTTCAGCTGGCCCTATCAAGCAGCTGGCACTGTGTGTAGTTGAAGAGACGAACCATATCCTTCAACGCCAAATTGAAGAGCCTCAGCAACTTGCGTGCTGTCCTTCCTGACCGTCTCCTTCCACCTGCCTCCCTCATTTGTGCTTGCACCATCTAAGCATCCCCAGCAGTACTAGCACGGGCCAATCCGTGTCCTCAAGCCGTCTCAAACACACCTTATTCCCACACACAATTCCACCCAACCCCGCTCACTTGTGCTTGGCACGCTGCAGCCTCACCAACAGCACAAAGATCATCAGCTTCACAGCAAGCCCCATACACAGCAGCACCAGGAGGCACTCCCACTTGCTCAGCTGATCAATCGACCTCTCTGCTAGCACCTGTGCCCCTGTCAACAAGCACACTGTGGCACCCACAGGTACTCCGAACTGACCCGCCCCACCAGGTGCTGTGGGATTGGTGGGAGACGGGCCGCCTGATGCCCCCCCTGGGATTCCCGAGGTGCTGCTGATAGTCATGTAGCAGGGCTCGGGCCTGGAGGAGATTGGGTGGGGTGAGGTGGGGTGAGGTGGGGTGGGGTGGGGTGGGGTGGGATGGGATGGAATGGGATGGGATGGGATGGGAATGATGGGGGATGGAACGGGAAGGGGGATGGGGGATGGGATGTGATTCAAAAGTCGAATATTTATTATCTATGGCTGAAAAGAACAAGGAAATTCAGGGTAAATAACCTCGGTCCTCACCTGTCGAATTGGTTTATAGCGAGAGCTTCATAAGAGTATTTGAAGGGCGACAAGTAGTGTAGCCATATGAGCGTATTGGGCATTTGCTTCCTTGTAACGAAGAAGCCACTAACGAGGTAGAAGTAGGACATTATTGAGATGGCAGTTGCATATGCCAGTACCACACTGCAAGGTGGGGGGGGTGGTGATGGGGAAATATGGAGAGCACACAGCGGAAGGAGATGAGAGGGATGGCAGTTGCATATGCCAGTACCACACTGCACAGGACGGGAGGAAAGGAGGAGGGATGGAGGGAGGGAAGGAAAGCGGGGAATGGGGAAGAGAGGGGAAGTAGGGAAGTAGGAAAAGAGGGAAGGAGTGAGGCTTGTACATGGGAAAGGGGTTGCACATGGGAAAGGGGTTGCACATGAGAAAGGGGTTGCACACGAGAAAGGGGTTGCACATGAGAAAGGGGTTGCACATGAGAAAGGGGTTGCACATGAGAAAGGGGTTGCACATGAGAAAGGGGTTGCACAGGAGAAAGGGGTTGCACATGAGAAAGGGGTTGCACATGAGAAAGGGGTTGCACATGAGAAAGGGGTTGCACATGAGAAAGGGGTTGCACATGAGAGATGCAAGCATGATGAACGGAATCTTCAAAATTGTGTTGACCACCCAAATCTTGCCACGTGTGAAGATCCCTAGGCCAAAGAGGTGTTGGCATGTTAGAAACATGTGATGAGCGAGAGCCATAAACCAAATCCATGTGCATCCCAATGTCACGTGATAAAAGAAGTGCTTTGAGGCGTCTCAAAACAATGTCACTCACTCCTTGACGCATATCCTGACACATGTCGCGATGCATTAGCTGTGAAAAACATGACGAAACACGCCACCACCATGAACAGGAAACCCTCTCTGCCACCCGCAAGGCTGATGCTTCCCCAGGAGACGGCGGTGAGAAGCAAGGCCATGAGGAAGTGAAGCGGTAGGTAGACTAGGGTTGATGACACCAGGTAGGTTGATGCCCTGTACGCATTATTAGCAGATTCCCTTGTGAATATTGCGCATTCCTGGTGGTGTAGGAGCGTAGACAATTGAACGGGGAGAGGGGGATGAGGCGGACGTTTCTAAAATGAATTCATTGAATGTATTGCTCTGAAATGAATGCATCACACTGGATTGAATGCAACACTGAGATGAAATAACACATTGCAATGAATGCAACTTCAATGAATGAGAAAACATATCGAAAGCAGCAGATCTCATTCCCGACCACTCAAACACACCTCGATGAAAATCGGCACAGCATCGCAGGAGGTGTAGAAGACGATGCAGGAGGCACAGGACAGGAAGGATAGCCGGATCGTCACCCCTTCGTTCCTGCAGTCGACAAATGAGGTAGGCATTGAGAAACGAAAACAAATCATGGCATACAAAGTTTCTAAACGCCTCACAACTCAGACCTTCGAGACGTCTCAAAACTTGCAGTCAACAAATGAGGTAGGCATGAAGAAAACAAATCATGGCATACAGCTTCAGAGGGGACAGCCGAATCACCATGAGCCAGATTGCGAAGCAGAGACAACGCAAGAAGCACAGTAAAGAATGAGAACGAGAGAGACGAGTTCTGAAGCGCCTCACAACTAGTCATGCATTAATCCCCTGATTCTCTAGACCCTCAGTGAACCTGCCCAGGCACCTTCAGTGAACCTGCCCAGCCATTCTCCAGGCCTGGCACCAGACCTGATCACCATTTCCCAACCTCGCTGCTGAACTGACCAGCAACCGCCCAACCTAGCAGCAGAGCAGAGAACCCATTACCAGTACACCAGACCTGACCAGCGATGCCATGCCACACTTACGTTTCTTCTGGCTTCCAAAACAGAATCGCCAGAAGCACACTCGTTATAAGGATGAGCGCCAGCCTCAGCAGGTACAGTGCAGGTGTGCGCATGATGTTAACAGAAGCTCTCCTAGTCAGCACCATCAGCTCCCCGAACCATCCGTTTGCATATTGTGAGGCTTGAGACTCTTTCTCCTTCCCCACCTTCTCATACTCCTTTTTGCCAAGCCTAACCCAGTGTAGTTTCCCCTTGGGATTCGCTGGGCTACCGGCATCGCTGGGCATCTCCAGGGCCTTCCGAGCCGCCATCACAGGATTGGCCACACCGGCTTCGCAGGCTTGGGCGTAGGCTTGGATGTCGGTAACACCCTGGGCTTGTAACACGGCCATGACATCCAAGCCATGCTCTGTGCTGTTCGAGCCTTCTGGAACCGGGCTCCCAAGAGATGAGAGGAATTTTGGGAGGCCGGCAGGTGGGCCCAAATAGGCTGCCTGGCCTACGCCCAAGAGAAGCAGCTTGTCGATGAGACAAAGGACACGATAGGATGGCTGTTGAAACAAAAAATAAAGGGGGTGAGAGGGGGGGGGGTGGTGGGGAAAGAGAGGTGGGAGAGAGGGGTGGTGGGGAGGAGTTAGGAAATGTAATTTGTGTTGATGTAGTTGATGTTGATGCTGTGTTGAGAAAGCACCATCACGGAAATGCTCGCAGTCTGAATCGCGACGGACTTGATAGCGCGTACAACGCGGAAGGCATTGGTTGAATCCAATCCCGAGGTTGGCTCGTCGAGAAACAGAATCTTCGGGTCGCTCACCATCTCCACCCCTATCGCCACTCGCTTTCGCTCACCGCCAGAAACGCCTCTGCGAAAGAAAGAAAGGGTAACACAATGAAAGCAGTAGAATTTTGATACTACGTTAGTCCAGGGTTCAAGTGATATGGTTCAAGTGAAACTAGTTAGACTTGCGTAATGTTGCAACACAACGAACAGATACTAGGTTAGTCCAGGGTTTAATCGTATCCCCGTTTGGCGCTCACCTTTTCCTTTCGCCGCCGATCAGAGTTTCCGCCACTTTCGTCAGTCCAAGTAGGTCGATCAGCCGCGCGACCTTATCCTCTTTTTCGCGTCGCGAAAACCTCGGCTCCAGGCGCAACTCGGCGGCGTACATGAGGGTTTCGCGCACCGTGAGCGACGGAAACAGCACGTCGTCCTGCATCACGTACGCGGACATGCGCCGCACCATCGCTGCGCTCACCTCCTCCCCGTCTAACTCCACCGTCCCCTACCGCCGCCCCGACGAGTTCCGCTGCGCCAGGATGTTCAGCAGCGTCGTCTTTCCTCCTCCGCTTGCGCCCATGATCGCCGTCACCTCCCCCGACCGCGCCTCGCCGTTCACGCCGGTCAGGATCTGCCGCCGAACGCGCTTTTGGCGCAAACCGCCGAACATGCCGCTGCCTGGCTTGGCGCTGGTTTCGCCGCCGGCGGTTGCAACTCCATCCACTCCCGGCGCACCAGCTTGCGCCGCGGCAGCCTCCTGAAACCCCTGCTGAGGCGGCAGTCCGGGGACATTCGCGAGCGTGCTGTCCTGCCGCGCGAACTGCGGGCCGGCAGCCGCGGAAGGTTCCCCCTTGCGCTGCTTGACGTAGACGGAGTAGCAGATGTTGCGGAAGGTCAACACAGAAGCGGGGGCGGCGGAGGCCGCGTCGGCGGAAGGCGAGAACACCTTGCTTGCGGCGTCGCGTTTGAGCGCTTCGACCTCGATCGTCAGATCCTCGGATGACGACGTGGAAAATGTAGGAAGAACCGTTCGCTTTGAAACGCCGTCGTGAACTAAATACTTGATGAAAATATTCCTGTGAGCTCTTTCTGGATAGGTCTCTGAGTGACGAATCCGTAGCACCAAAGAACGCCAAGAACGGCCAAGTATTGAGAACGCAATCGTTGATCATAAGGGGCTGGGTACACAATTCCAGAGAGGATGCAATTACAAAAGACGAGTGAGCTTTTATACTCCATAAGATAGAAATCAAGAAACTCCCTATAGTCGAATCGCATTTGTAACCGAAGCGCATGTGACTTTCGTAACCCACCCCACTGCAAATTTGACGGTGGAATTTCGGAAAAGGAGTTACGTCCTTTTCCGTCTTACCCTTCCGTCAATGCACACAAGTTGCAATTACAATTGGTCGGACCAATTGTATCTCGCCACTTGTTTGTGCTTTGGTTGGTTCCTTCCGCCCAACTTGTAAGTAACCCTCGTCATTCTTGTTTCTTCTTACCACCCAAGTGAAACCTTTGACTTGAGTGCACCGTCACCCTCCGCCCAAGTTCTCGCCACCCAACCCAACTAGGTAAGGTTGGAGTGGTGTGTAGTGGGGACCACTTGGCCCCCCACCAACTTCCAACACTCCCCCTTGGTCCCCACAAGCACCTATGCATACAAGCCTACCCTAGCACAACATGCATGAAAGGTATCTCTCGGCAAAGGCTTGGTGAGGAAGTCCGCGGATTGAGCGTTGGTCTTCACGTAGCGTAGCTCCACCTCCTTGTCTTCGACGAGCTTGCGGATGAAGTGATGACGAATTTGGATGTGCTTGGTCCTTCCGTGAAGAACCGAGTACTTGGCAAGGTTGATTGCCGCTTGGTTGTCCACGTAGATCGGCGTGGGTCCCTCTTGTTCGTATCCTAGCTCGGCTAGGAGACGCCTCAACCACACGGCTTCGGTACCACCACGGTTGAGAGCAACATACTCGGCCTCGGTTGAGCTAAGGGCAATCAAGTTTTGCCTCTTGCTTTGCCAAGCCACCGCTCCCCCAAGGAGCGTGAAGACAAGGCCCGAGGTGCTTTGCCGAGTGGAAGGATCTCCCGCCCAATCGGAATCCGTGAACCCAATGAGTGCTACCGGCCCGGCTTCATAGTGGAGCCCTAGGTGACTAGTGCCCCTAACATAGCGAAGAAGACGACGCAAGGCACGCTCATGCTCTACCATGGGGTTGGAGACTACTCGCCCAAGTAGCCCAACCGTGAATGAGAGATCGGGACGGGTGCTCACGGCGGCATACATGCATGAGCCTACTATGGAATGAAAGCGCTTGGTCTTCTCGGGATCCATAGGGGTCTCCTCGCTTGTAGCCAAAGGGTGGAACCCCACTTCCATGGGTGTGGGTGCCGCCTTGCTCTCGCTCATCCCAAAGCGAGCCACCACATCCTCCAAGTACTTGTGTTGGTGAAGATGAAGAGTCTTGTGCGCACGATCGCGGTCGATGTGCATGCCGAGGTAGTATGACACGGCACCAAGGTCGCGCATGGAGAACTCCGAAGCAAGCTTCGCCTTGATCTCCGCCACAAGGTCCTTGCAATCGGAAACGAGGAGGAGGTCGTCCACGTAGAGAAGTAGGACGAGCTTCTTCTCCACACGGTTGAGGATGTAGAGGGCGTGATCACACTCACTCCGAGTGAAGCCCAACTCAAGCAAGTGCTTGTCCATCCTCATGTACCACGCTCTAGGGCTTTGCTTCAAGCCGTAGATGGTGCGCTTCAACTTGCACACACGGTCCGTACCATCCTCGAACCCAGGCGGTTGCCACATATACACCTCCTCCTCTAGGTGGCCATATAAAAATGCGGTTTTTACATCAAGTTGTTCTACCTCTAGATCAAGCCCTCCCGCTAGAGCTAAGAGAACACGAAGGGTAGAAGACTTTGCTACCGGTGCAAAGGTCTCGTTGTAGTGAAGGCCGGCCTTTTGCGTGTACCCTTGTGCCACCAAGCGAGCCTTGTATCGCTCCACCTCACCGTTCGGCCCGAGCTTCTTCTTGAAGACCCATCGGACCCAACGGTGTAGCTATTGGGGGGCAAAGGGGCAAGATCATAGACATCATTTTCAATAATGGACTCGTACTCCTCATTGAGTGCTTGAGTCCAATTACCGGCTTGGATCGTCTCCATCGCCTCACGGTAGGTGGTAGGTGTGAAGTCGGCCATGAAGCACATGGCATCTCCCCCTTCCTCATCATCCTCCACCACAAGCGAGTAGTCGGCATACTTCGGGTTCGGGTGAGGAGCTCTACGAGCGCGAGTAGATGCAAGCGTTGGAGCGACGACGGTAGAAGGATCACCATCCTTCTCACTCTCCACTCCAACCACTTCAACAACATCTCCCTCCTCGTCTTGAACACTCCTCTCCTCGGGAACATCGTGAGAAGATGACTCGTTCGTGTCTTCAACCGTTGGAGGGATGACCACGACCGAATGCTTCTCTTTTGGTGAAGTTGGGAAGCGGCTCTCGAAGAATGAGACGTCGCGCGACACCACCACCTTTCCGCTCTCCAAGTCCCACACCCGCCATCCCTTGTGATCAAGGCTATGGCTCAAATACATCCCCACACGCGCCTTCGCCTCAAGCTTGGTGCGTGTAGCATCGGGAACGTGATAGTAGCAAATGCACCCGAAGGTGCGGAGGTTGGAGACGTCCGGTTTGTCGCCACTCCAAGCCTCGAGGGGTGTCACGTTCGGCAAGGTCTTGGTCAAGCTTCGGTTGTGAATCCAAGTTGCCAACATTGTCGCTTCACCCCACCAAGACTTGTCCGCATGAGCATGGGCAAGCATGCTCCTAACCGCTTCAACCAAGTTGCGGTTCAAGCGCTCCGCCGCTCCATTTTGTTGAGGTGAGTGAGGAACTGACACTTCGTGGAAGGTTCCTCGCGCCTTGAACCACCCGTCGAGCTCGTTGTTGACGTACTCTCCTCCTCCATCCGACCGAATCCGCTTCACGAGTTGTCCATCTTTCTCCGTCTCAACAAGCGCCACCCACTTCTTGATTGTCGTAGAAGTCGCGCTCTTGTCCTTGAGAAGGTAGACCCACACCATGCGTGTCGCGTCGTCGAGGAGAGTGAGAATGTAGCGCGCTCCCCCTTTAGAGATAGGGGTGATTGGTCCACACAAGTCGGTGTGGACGAGATCGAGCGGGTTGGAGGCGAGAGGCTTCGTGCGAGTTGGAAACGGCTTCCGCGCCATCTTCCCTTCAAGACACGCCGAGCATTTCTCCACGTCCTCGCTTGTTGACAAGTCAGTGACGATCCCGTGCACCGCGCCTTGAGTTGCCATGGTGCGGATGGTTGACGTGCTCAAGTGCTCGTAGCGGTTGTGCCACATCTCCAATGAAGGCTTCGCCACCGCCGCGTGCGCCGACGCAAGATTCGGTGTAGCCACGAGCTTGAAGAGTCCGCCGTCTTGATGCGCTTTGCCGATGAAGCGCCCGGAAGACGTGCTCAATGTCATGACCGCGCCTTCGATGTTGACACGCATTCCCTTGGTGGTGAGTTGTGACACGGAGAGCAAGTTGGCGCCGAGTCCCGGTACAACCAACACGTTGTTGATTGTCATTGGACCGCTGTCCACCGCGAGGCGCAACGTTCCGCGTCCCTCCACCTCAAGCGAGTCTTGATTACCGAAGACCACGCGCTTGATAGGAGCATCCGCCGAGACATCCTCAAGAAGCTCCGCGCGAGGCGTCATGTGTTGTGTAGCGCCCGTGTCAAGAAGCCATGCGAGCCCGCCAAGAGCTCCTTCTCCCGCGATGAACACGAGCTCCTTGGTGTCTTCTCCCGAAGTCACCACGTTCGCACGCCTCTCTTCTTGAGTTGAAGACGTTGGAGTCCAATCCCTTGGCTTGCTCCGACACTCGCGCCACCAATGCCCGACCTTCTTGCAATACCGGCATGCTCCTTCCCGAGCATGACCACGGTTGTTGTTGTTGTTGGCGTGTCCTCCACGTGAAGAGCCCGCGCTTCCACTTGCATGCCCACGGTCATTCCGTGGCTTGGTGTAGACAACGCCCTTCTTCGCGCCGCGCGTGAAGTGAGCCGAACTCGTTGAATCGCCTTTCAATTTGATCCACCGCATCTCCTCGTTGATGAGGCGCGTCGTCACCCCCTCCTTGGTCCACGTCGCTTGCGTGCCGTCAAGGGTGGTGATGACGGTTGACCATTCCTCTCCGAGCCCTCCGAGAAGCGTCATGATCCAATCCTTCTCGTCCACGTCCGCTTCAAGCTCCACCATTCGTTCGCCAAGCTCCTCAACGCGGTTGACGTACGCGCGCATGCGTTCGCCCTCCTTGATGCGCACGGTGAAGAAGTTCCTCCTCGCTTGCAACTTGCCGTGGAGAGACTTCGTCACGTGGATGTTCTCGAGGCGCCTCCAAGCTTCACGTGTAGCTCCTTCAAGATGCACGAGCTCACCACCGACACGAGTTGAAGTCCGAGCTTCGACACGAGAAACGAGAACGCCTTCTTGTCCTTCTTCACCCATGCTCCATGCTCCGTTGTCGAGGCGCTTGAAGGCTTCACTTCGGATCCGTCGAAGAAGCTCCAAAGCTCACGCTCCATCATGTGCACCTTCAACTTGAAGCGCCATGATGCATAGTGCTCGCCATTGAACAATGGCACCGCACTCATGTCGACGATCGTCGTAGATGCGGAGTAGGACTTATTGGGGGTAGGACGAAGGGGGACATCAGAGGTCGATGAAGAAGTCAAAGACATGGCGACAAGTAGAGCTAGGCGTAAAGCGTTTGAGATTTCCTAAAGCTCTGATACCATGTAGGAAGAACCGTTCGCTTTGAAACGCCGTCGTGAACTAAATACTTGATGAAAATATTCCCGTGAGCTCTTTCTGGATAGGTCTCTGAGTGACGAATCCGTAGCACCAAAGAACGCCAAGAACGGCCAAGTATTGAGAACGCAATCGTTGATAATAAGGGGCTGGGTACACAATTCCAGAGAGGATGCAATTACAAAAGACGAGTGAGTTTTTATACTCCATAAGATAGAAATCAAGAAACTCCCTATAGTCGAATCGCATTTGTAACCGAAGCGCATGTGACTTTCGTAACCCACCCCACTGCAAATTTGACGGTGGAATTTCGGAAAAGGAGTTACGTCCTTTTCCGTCTTACCCTTCCGTCAATGCACACAAGTTGCAATTACAATTGGTCGGACCAATTGTATCGCGCCACTTGTTTGTGCTTTGGTTGGTTCCTTCCGCCCAACTTGTAAGTAACCCTCGTCATTCTTGTTTCTTCTTACCACCCAAGTGAAACCTTTGACTTGAGTGCACCGTCACCCTCCGCCCAAGTTCTCGCCACCCAACCCAACTAGGTAAGGTTGGAGTGGTGTGTAGTGGGGACCACTTCGCCCCCCACCAACTTCCAACAGAAAACGCGTCGCTGTCGTCGTCGTCGTCGGAAGAGTTGGTGTCGTCGTCGGAAAAATCGTAGTCGTCGTCAATGTCTTCAACGACAACGTGGTCGCGATTGCGAATCGCCGGCCGCTGCGGGGCCGCGGCGGTGCTAGTTTCTGCAGGGACAGCCATTTCGAACCTACTTATATAGCGGCTCGACTGGCGCGCGACGAGGAGGCTTCGGAAGGATACGAGGGGTCACGACTAGTAGGAGAACTTCTCCTCGGTTTGGCCGTTTCAATTGCTTCTGTCAAAACATATTGTTCTGCTTATTTCACTCTAGGTTGTGTAGGGTTCTTTCCTTAGAGGGTACAACAATCTCTCTCGATAGTCCTTGTACCCCCCCCTTACCTAATCGAACTCACTCATCTAGCTAGTAACTCTAACATGGTATTAAGAGCACAATGCTCCTTAGGACCGAAATTTTAAAAGGGCCCACCACTACTATTTCGACCTGCTGCCCGAGTCGCGCCCCTAGGAGAAACGCGAAATGCGAAAACGTGCCCTAGGCGAGACGGTTCCCTTTTCTGCCTAGACGCGATTTTCTGTTCCTAGTCACGTGCGACCCCCCCTGACCGAGCCCTAGCTGCCCCGTGCGCCTCTCGCGCGGCCCGTCAGCCCCTACGCCCGGTCCCCCCCTCGTTCCTGCTGCTGCGCGCGCTACTCACGCTGCCCGCCAGCCCCTAGCACGCACCTGATGCGCGCTCCTCGTAGTGCCGCCCCGCACGCACCTGTTGCGCGCCCCTGGTTTGCACGCCCACAGCCCACGCGCGCCTACTGTTACTACGCGCTGCCCAGCCCGAACTGTCACTGCTGCTGCTACTGACGCTACTGCTGCTACAGCTAGTGCTACTCACTGCTGCTGCTACTGAAGCTAGTGCTGCTACAGCTAGTGCTACTCACTGCTGCTGCTACTGAAGCTAGTGCTGCTACAGCTAGTGCTACTCACTGCTGTTGCTACTGAAGCTACTGCTGCTACAGCTAGCGCTACTCACTGCTGTTGCTACTGACGCTACTCCTGTTACAGCTAGCGCTACTCACTGCTGCTGCTACTGAAGCTAGTGCTGCTACAGCTAGTGCTACTGCTGCTGCTGCTACTACGGCACTTGCTACAGCTGCTACTGACTGAAGCTACGGCTGCTACAGCTAGTGCTACTGCTGCAGCTCCTACTCCAGCACTTGCTACAGCTACTATTGACTGAAGCTACTCCAGCTACAGCTAGTGCTACTGCTGCAGCTCCTACTACTGCACTTGGTACAGCTGGTACTGACTGAAGCTACTTCTGCTACAGCTAGTGCTACTGCTGCAGCTCCTACTCCAGCACTTACTGCAGCTGCTCCTGACTGAAGCTACTGCTGCAGCTCCTACTACTTCACTTGGTACAGCTAGTACTACTGCTGCAGCTCCTACTACTTCACTTGCTACAGCTAGTGCTACTGCTGCAGCTCCTACTACTGCACTTGCTACAGCTAGTGCTACTGCTGCTGCTACTGCTGCTCGGTCTGCTGCTGCTGCCCGAGCCGCCCTGCTACTGCTGCTACTGGAGGGAGTACTGCTGGGAGTGGTGGAGGTGCGGCCTCCCACCCCCACCGAACCGCCCTGCTGCTGTTACTACTGCTGCTGCTGCTACTTGTGCTACTGGGAGTGGAGGAGGTGCTGCTGGGAGTGTAGGAGGTGCTGCTGGCGCTGTAGGAGCTGGAGGTGCTGGACCTACTCCTGACAGTCACTGTCTGTCATGGCCACTTCCGCGGCAGTCGCTGTGGCCAGGGGTGGACAGCAGCGGGCACTGCTTCTCCCGGACGACCCCACCCCTCAGCAGCTTCGTGAGTGGGTTATTCAGCGAGGTCGTCCTGGTGGTGGAGGTTATCGTTATGTTAAGACCGCTGCTCTTGGTGTTAGTGAGTCTGCTGCCACTCCAGGTGTTAGTCAGTCTGCTGCCACTCCAGGTGTTAGTGAGTCTGCTGCCACTCCAGGTGCTAGTGAGTCTGCTGCAGCTCTAGGTGCCCGTGAGTCTACCGACGCTCTAGTTGCTAGTGCGTCTACTACCACAGGTCCTGCCTCAGCTGAGGTCTTGCACACGTTCACGCTTGACTCCGGCGCGTCACGTTGCTTCTTCCGTGATTGCACCACAGTCACACCA